CTCATCTTTGAATAAGCAAAGAGGAAAACATTGTATTCAGCGAAAATGATTTCATTTCTAATTCATACGAAGGAACATTAATTAATTTCTACAAAATATACCAAAACTGTGTATTTTGGGCCAAAAGGTAGGGTTGGCGGCAATATTAGTACCATGACCAATAGGTTCAAATTTGTAATACCAAAAAAAAAGTCATATTACATAATAAAAATTATTGCAATTTTTTAAAGCTATATTGCGGTATTTTACCTAAAAGCAATGGCTATTGGGTATTCATCTATTTCAGGCAAAAATCACAAATTTCAAATAACTCACTTGCCTATTTGACCTACTTTTGAGCTTTCTATAGATAAGAACATACAGCATTTCACTAATTTATGTACCAAAATCCTTAGATTTCCCTATGATTTTGCTTTACTCTCTCCTGAGAATACCTTTAGGGTATTATTCTGGGAAAATGGACGGCAAATAAGGGAGGAGCAGACCCAGAGCAACTTACTTAGAAAACCTGAACAGATGAGCGACAATGATAGACCGGGATGAGCTCGTTTTTATAAGAGTATCAAAGCAAAGAAATAAATGGGGAACCATGATCGCCGATGTCTGTGTCACATTTGGCACTGAACGACCATGATGAGTCTGAGATCACATTGACCGCAGATAGGTTTATATTCGACAGGAAGTCAGGTTATTCTCAACTGCCAAAAGTATTTCTGAGAGAAAATAGACACGTACTGTCCATTGTTTGTATTGTTGTGATATTGTGTATTATGTAACTTCGATAAATTGTTGAATGTACGTATAAAGCACATTTACGAGTAAACTTGTGTTTTTATATGTTGTGCTCGGTAAACAAAATTTTTCCACGGGATCTATAGCATTTGTATTTATTAAATCTTTCTATTTTATACATCAACAATTAATATTTATTTAGTGCAGGAAAAAACAAACAAAAAACAAAAAACAAGAGCGATAGACAGAAACGATAGAAAGAAAGTGGTTTTTTCTAAGCACCAAGAGCCAACATAGTATGAAAAGATAACATAATATGACAAACGTAAAGCCATAATATGAACGTGTAGTCTTATATGACCTTATTGTGTTGCAAGTGCCGTAAAACTCTTACATTAAAGAACAAGAATGTGTAGTATGGTTGGGATTGAACACTTTTTAAATCTGTAATGTTATTTAAGAGATAAGACCTTTGGTTAAGCGACCATTTCTGATATGACTTAGTAGAGGAGAAGGAGATACAAAACAACAAATAAGTAGAGAAGACGGAGTCATGAAACAAGTATCCAACGTAAAAATTATTTTCCCTTTTGTGATTGAAGTCAGGACCATTCATTTTATAGTCCAGCATTATAGGAACTGAGCTGTTGGCACTGCAAGACTAAAGTTGCTTAGTTGCTGCTCATCTTAACCACGGTGATCTAAACTCACCTGTTTTAGTTTCCTTCCTCCAATAGTCACTCACCGGGAGAGACACAACGTTTATCTTCCTTTTGAAAAATCGTCAAAAAATAGTAACACCTTGATCTGGACACGTTTTCTGGTTTTGAATACTCCTCAACCCCACCAAAGTCTTCTACGTATTCTTACGGACGTTCGATCTCCACAATATTGAAATCTTACAAAAGACAAATGACTTTACAACAGACCCGCCTTGACATAGCTCGACTTGCCAGGCCACTAGATCTAGATCTAGTTCTATCCCGGATTTGTCTCGACTCATAAATTTGGGAAGGCTTGTAATCCTGCCTAAGGGTGTGTGCGTAAGTGTGTGTGTGTGTGTGTGTGTGTGTGTGTGTGTGTGTGTGTGTGTGTGTGTGTGGAAAAAAGCTGGGGGAGGGGGGTAATTGGAGGGTTTCGTATAACAGACCAAGCGTCACGCTTCAAAGGATACAATGTTTTCTTCCTCTCAAGAGGGTTATTGGGACATGTTGGCTTGGGTTTAGATAGCACCCTAGGCGACCGTCTAGATAGCACCCCTTACCCCCAGTCCCTCGGTATGTGTTATCCTTGTTTGTGTGTTTGTTTTATGTACGTGTCTGTATGTGTATTTGTGCGTCTGTGTCTGTTTGTGTATTATTATTATTGTTATTATTATGTATGCATAATATGCATGTAGAATTACATGGGGTAAAAGTAAATCATTATAATAATATGTGATGTGTGTGAGAGTGTATGTGTGTGTGTGTGCTTGTGTGTGTGTGTGTGTG